ACACACAAACCCCTCCCCAGCCCATACCCTCACCTTGATGATCTTGAGCAGGTGCTGCCACTTGGGACTCGGCTAGCCCAGTGTCCCTCTCTGGGAAGGTTGGAGAAATAGCCAGAAGTCCCGATGGCACAACAGTTAAGTGTTCACCTACTAATTGATACATCGGTGGTTCAAAGCCACCAGCAGAAGAAAGCCCACAGGGTCACTGTTGGAACAGATTCCATGACACCCAACAGCTGTCTAGGTGGCATTGGTTTTTCAGGAAGTCCTCGCCCGCCCGCCCCCCACCCAGCTCCCTCCTCCTCTCCCTTCTCCAAGAAGGTGGTCTGCTCCCACCAAGGCTGGCTTATGGGTGGGTGGGTGGTGCTGTGTTCAGACCCATACGCCACCTCATGGCACAGAGGGGCCCCACTGCCTGGCTTGGAGAAGAAATTAGGAGCAAGATCAAATCTTCATCAATACACTTTTGCCCTCCAATCCCCATTCGTCAGAGCTCACACCTTCCAGGGCCCACAGAGGGCTGATGGCACAGGTCACCAGATACTTTGGTTGACACAGATGCCAAGGTCTTGGGTCACATGGAATGGTTCTTGTTGGAACAGGTTTGTTTATTAGAGTCACCGTTTAGCTATCAGGCGCTGTGTGGCGAATTGCAAATCTCGAACCACAGTGAAGTCAAACCTTTTGAATGGCGCCGAGTTACCAAGGAAGGTTGAGTCACAGGCTGAGGAGCAGGCAATCTGCTCAGCTCTCATCACAAAGCCCATCGCCCATGGCAGATGACGAGTCTGCTGTTGCCGTGGAGAATCGGTATTACACTGTGACCTTGCTTTGGAGCGCAAGTGTACATTGCCTTGACCATGATTATACAAAATGCGTTGTCTAGGAAACAGCACAGTTCAGTTCCGAGAACAGGAAAGGCTAGATCATGCTGGGCTTTAAGTGGAAGCTGCACAGGGTTACCTTGTACCCAGCAGGGGCTCATCTTTCCACTGGGGCCTCGCAGCTTCATGTTTTTGTGTGTGCGATACCGAAAGGGGGGTGAGGGGAGTACGGGGTGAGGCAGAAACAGACAGAAAGGGAGAGAGCACTTAGCGCCCTCTCCACCCACTGGAAAGTTCCAAGCCTGGCCAAGCAGCTTCTGCAGCTGTCCTTGGGGCCTGGCACTGCCCTTTCTCATTTCTTGCAGGCACGTGGGGGTGGAGTAAGGGGGCATCCTGCCAGTTCCCAGAACCGAGGTGGTAGGGAGCTGGGGGAGGGCCCCATGTGCCTCTAGGGGGCAGGGCATGGGGGTTGTCCACAGAGCCTACTGGACTCTCTCAGTTCTGAGGTCTTTCTTCTGATTCATCGTAGAGCTGGCTCGATGTTATTGTCCAGAGATAATTATTTTCTATCTTTCCATGCGAAAGGCCAGATGGAGAATCCATGCTCTTTGCCTCAGAAGCATGTGACCATCCCCCCACCCCCCCACCCCTAGAGAGCTGATGTGGAGACACTGGAAGCCAGTCTAACTTCCCTCCATCCCCCACCTCTGCCCTCTGTCAATTATGGGCTTCCCCCCACCCGCCACTCGCTTCTTAGTTACCATCTTCTTTTTAGGAGCCCTGGTGACATAGTAAGGCTATAATCCAAAAAGTCAGCAGTTCAAAACCACTGGGAAAACCAGCAAAAATCAAATAAACGTGACCAAGGAAAACACGTGTATCTGGGGACAGGCTAGAAGCCCTGAGGCCCTATCGATGCAGGAACTGCACTGCGGGAAGAGACAGTCATGCCTGTCATGGTCTCAGTGTTAGAAACCATGACAATGTACATGGAATTGTTTAACAGACCCCCAACCTGGAGGGCTGAGGCGGTGAGAGGAAGGGTGAGGCATCAGTTCTGCATCTGTCCCCACATGTCCGCTGTGCAGGTGTGTTTCTGGGTCATGGTGATCTTGTTTTGAAGTCTTTTTCATGCGACCCGCATCTCTGTAATACTTTGATATCTCTCTTCCAATTTCTTCCCGGAGCTCTGCTAACATCCTTCTTGGAGCCCTCCGTCCCTGCAGTAAGCTTGCTTGTATTTTGAGTTGATGGAGAATTCATTGCTTTTGTGACAGAGCCCCGCTGTGGTGTGGCGTCCATTCTTTTCCTCCTTTTATTATTTGTGTATTGTTCTTGTTGCACACAGCAAGCGTGCCGTTTTTTAAATGTGCTTGATTGAGCTCTGATGGAATAGTGGGTACGCATTGGGCTGTGATTCACGGCCGTTTAAAACCACAAGTCTGCTCCTTGAGAGAAAGAGAGGGCTTTTTACTCCTGTGAGCAGTTGCAATCTCAGAAACTCAGTGGGGAAATTCTCACCGGTCCCATAGGCTTGCTATGAGTCAGCAACAACTCGATGGCAGTGAGTTTTGTTTTAGTGTTAGGGTTTTTCCCCAGATATCTACATAGCATATCGTAAAATAAATATATATATATGTGTGTGTGTGTATATATATGTGTGTGTGTGTGTATATATATATATAGTCTGCTTTCTCGGGTGTAGGAACTCTGTTGGCTTTTGAGTGTGCTTGATTTTGCACCTTCACCTTTTCTCTCACCTGTCTCTGACTAGGTCTCTGCAGGGCTAGGTCCACTACCGCCCCCTCCTGGTGTCCTCATTGTTCTACACTTCCTACTCATTGGAACCTGACGTACAACAGAAGAGCCCATTGTTGTCGCCACTGTGTCACTCCATCTTCCTTGAGGTCCCTCCTCTTTTTCACTGCCCCTCTACTTGACCATGATGTCCTTCTCCAGGGACTGATCTCTCCTGACAACATGTCCACAGCCTGTATGAAGCCTTGCCATCCTTGCCTCTAAGGAGCACTCTGGCAGTATTTCTTCCAAGGTTCCTTAGGTTTTATTAATCTAATCAGATCTTAGTAACCATGTAGGACAGAGTAGAACTGCAGCCTTTCCAGGAGCAGCCAGCCTCTTCTTTCTCCCTTGGAGTGACTGGTGGGTTTGAATCATAGACCTTTATGTTAACAGCCCAAAGCTTACCCGACACGCTGTTGGTGCTGTGGGTGCCCGATTCCCCGTAGTTTGGGGTTGTAGCCATTCCCGGTGGTCTTTTTCTCTTTGAAGCTGTTCTCAAACACCACCAGCTCATGAAGTTTCTGGAAAGAAAACTAGCCCAAGGCCTTGAAGGAGTTCCCTTTCATAAAGTATCTCTTTTGCAGGCCGATAACATGCCAGACCATGAACAGAAAGCTCCCCCTACTTCAATCCCTACACCCAGCCTGGCACTGACAGGTCAGGTACCCGGACTTGTGGACATGTGTGGCCCTTCCTTACAGATCACCCCATCTAAGCTGAAGGCTGGCTACTCTACCGAGAGAAGACAGAAAACATTTCCATCACTGAGAGCCTTTAGCTGCCAGGCTTCGTGCTTGGGAGGTCACATCCATTGTTTCCTTCAAAAGTGACAATAGGTCTCTGGGAGAGGACTTCCAACAGGCAAGTTGCCTTGCTGGGGCTGGGGCTTGGCCGTGACTGACTAATTCCCAGCAGTTCCACTAGGGGGCTGTGGAGAGTTTGTGGAAAGGGCCATTCCCATCTCCCAAGGAGGCGGCAAGTGGCTCTGGTCTCCCGGAGCGTCTTTAAACTGTGACCAGTGCCATGAGTAGACCTAATGTCATCACAGCCAAAAGTAAGCCTTGCTGACTTCAGCTTCTACTCCACACACACACACCTCAGGGCCTTTGCCCTGACTGTTCCCTCTCCCTGGATGCTTTTCCCTGCACAGCCACAGGGTCCCCTCTCACCTACTTGTTTTGACAGTGAGACCTGTACTTCACGCCCCCACCTGATCCCAAACTTGCAACCCAACACCTCAGCCCTCCCTTTTCTTTGGAGGAGTAGGCTACCCTTTAACATCTGTGACAAAAGTTGCCTCTTCCCAGTGATGGTGTTCAGGCAGAAGGTCCATGTGTCAGAGTAGGGTGGGTGAAAGCTTTGTGGGAGAGAAGCGAACGTGGAGGGGGGACTAGGAGGAGCCAGCTACATGTCACTCAGTGCCTCGCCTGTGACAAGGTGACCTGGGGGCAGCCGCCCTCTCTTTACAGGTGCTCTTGGCTCCTAAGCCCTACCTCTGCAGTCTCTGCCTCTGAGGGACTAAGCCTATCTCTGCACCCCACTTAGCTGATGCCATTGGAGGGCAGGGTCCTAGGGAGCACCTTGTGAGCACTACTATTAACAAGTGGGTAGCTTTAAAAAGCCAGGGCGCTTGCCCCAGGTTTGGAGGCTGGGAGTGTAAGGCAGGGCACCGGGAAAAGGGAATAGCAGGGCTTAGGCGTGGGGATGGGCCTCTTGAGCAAATATATGTGTTTGTGCGCATTCTCCCAGAAGCCCCCCAAGTACCTAGACACTTCCCTTTGCTAAATGAGCTGTTATCATCACCGCCCCAGGGTGAGATTCCAAGTTCGGAGAGGTCTCAAATTAAATGTTATGGAAGGCTTTCCCAAGAGTCAGCCCCGTGCCTCTGACATCAACTTTCTCACCAGGAGTGTGGCGCTTGTCTTCCACGGGGGCACCCTGCACCCCACCATGTGCAGCGGCTCTGACCCCCAGGTGCTAGGTGCCAGTGACATTTCCTGAGCCATCCTGGAGACCACTACCATAGGGCCCATCCACCTCCAGATGTCCCAGGGACCATGTCAAGCTGAGCACCGGTGCAACTCTGAAACAGGAAAAATCACCTTTCAAAGAAAAGCACTCATGTCTCAAGAGGGAGATGGATTCATGGGACCACCGAGGGGGGCATTTTCTGCACTTGCCCCCCCCCACACACACACACTCATCCCTCCTCCCCACAGGCCCACAGCAGAGGCAAGACTCAGTAGTAACACTCAAGCAGATTTATTAAAGATAAACATGAACTAGAATCATTGAAGGGAAGGATCATAACAGAGGGGACAAGTAACAACCACCAGGGACACCCCCCCCTCCCCCTGGGGTCCCCAGCGAGGACCCTCAGCAGCCCACAGGCTGCCTCCTGTCAGGACAATGAACTCTGGCAACGTCCAATACTTCTGGAGGTCCCTTCCCAACTCGATCGGCTAAGGTGGGATCCTGCCTTAAGCCCCCCCACCCCGCCGTCCCTCTCCCCCAGGACAGGCAAAGGGCAATACTGAAAGAAAGCAAAGAAAACGGCATCAGATTGAGGAAACTGAGTCACGAACAACTGGAGTGGAGCTTCCGGCAGCCAGCCCCACCCCTAGACCTTCCTTCTTCCTGCCGTCCTGAGGTGGGCGTCACCCCTCACTGGCCAAGGCACTGAGATCCAGTGCCTGCACTCTCTGCCGCAGGAGCACTGCCCACGTGAGCTGGGGTGGAGGCGTGCCCACCTTCCTAAGGGGCAGGGGCACCCTTTGCAGCAGCATCGGCTTCTGGGCCAGCCACAGTGGGCGATCCAGGCTTGTCGATGGCCATGTTGGACTCTCCAGCAGTTGGGTGGGCCTGGGCGGCCCCTTCATCCTCTGAGTCGGCATCTTCGTCGTCTGGGTCGGCACCTGCAACACCCAGGCTGGCCTCAGTGGACCCTTCGTCATCTGAGTCGGCCCCTTCGTCGTCTGGGTCGGCCCCTTCCTCGTCTGGGTCAGCACCTGCAGCGCCCAGGTTGGCCTTGGCAGCCCCTTCGTCACCTGAGCCGGCATCTTCGTCGTCGGGGTCAGCACCTTTGTCATCTGGGTCGGCTCCTGCAGCATCTAGGTTAGCCTCGGCACCACCTTCGTCGTCTGGGTCAGCACCTTCATCGTCTGGGTCAGCACCTTTGTCGTCTGGGTCAGCACCTGCAGCACCCAGGTTGGCCTTGGCAGCCCCTTCATCATCTGAGCCGGCATCTTCGTCGTCTGGGTCAGCACCTTTGTTGTCTAGGTCAGCACCTTTGTCGTCTGGGTCAGCACCTGCAGCATCTAGGTTAGCCTCGGCACCACCTTCATCGTCTGGGTCAGCACCTTTAGCGCCCAGGTTTGCCTCGGCAGCCCCTTTGTCATCTGAGCCGGCACCTTCGTCGTCTGGGTCAGCACCTTTGTCGTCTGGGTCAGCACCTGCAGCACCCAGGTTGGCCTTGACAGCCCCTTTGTCATCTGAGCCGGCATCTTCGTCTTCTGGGTCAGCACCTTTGTCGTCTGGGTCGGCTCCTGAAGCGCCCAGGTTTGCCTTGGCA